TAGATAGATAGATAGATAGATAGATAGATAGATAGATAGATAGATAGATAGATAGATAGATAGATAGATAGATAGACAGACAGACACACACATGTGTTGTATGTGTGTCTGTACATATACATATATACACATTTCAGAGGTCATATTCAGCCGGTTCTTACTGTAGCTGGCAATATATATATATATATAGCTGGCAACACACACATACATACACATACATACACATGCATACATACATATATATACACATACACACACACCCAGACACACACACACTGTATATTTCCATCCACCAAACAAATCAGCAAATATTTAGGGCGTAACTTTCCTCAAATTGCAGGAACATTCGTTATTGAATGTTTCAAATTTCCATTTGAATCACTGGACGCACAAACGGGGCACCCAAAAATTCACCATCTGTAAAGTGACTTGCAGCCTTCCCTTCGAGTGGCTTGCCTAATCAGAACAACATTCTCTCAGGAGTTTCTTGCCTCCCGGAGAAACAAATCTAAACTAGATTCCTTCACCTGTCTCTAAATTCCAAGTCCATGAAAAAGACCAAAGGGACACATCAGAGCGGTGCTGACGCTAACCCGGTTGCAAATCTCGGTTTCGCCCCCCCCCCAAAGAAAATCCTTCTCACCCACGCAGAACTAAAACAATGCTAATTTTGCAAAAGGGGGATGCTTCTTTGGAAAAACTGCTGTCTAGCTGTCCCCAAAGCGTCCCCTTAGAACTTGCTCTGATGAAAAGCAAAAGTAAAATTTAAAAAAAGGAGAGGTGGGCTATTAAGCAAGGCACAGGGGAGGGGGGAATTAGGGGGGATAGCTTTTAAACTCTGTGAGGTCTTCCGGTTTCAAGGCCTCCTCTTTGTTGTGAGCAGGCCCTTATATTGTCCTGCAAACAACTCTTCGAAACCGCCTTAAGCTGACCCCACCCCCCACCCCAATCGGCAAAGCATCTGGTCTGCAGGAGACCTCCGAGAGTCTTATGCTAATAGCATCTGGTCCTTGTCTTTTGACGTCCCCTCCTCCCCCCCCTCCCGCTCTTCCATCTGTTTATCTAGTCCACCTGTTGTCCCATGTTTAGATTTGCAAAGACCCCCGTTCAGAAGGGACGCAGATTTCATCTTGTTCACACCAAACACGGGATTCCCCGTCTCTCTCCAAAGCTCTTAAACAGCCCCCTGATCCCTCTTGCTATGGCCGGAATTCTCAAACCTCCGTTCGCGCTTGAATGAGAAAGGTGCGGTGAGAAGACAACGAAATAGTCGGATCGGGCTGTACAATCGCGCCCAAGGGTGAGCGGTGCAGCGGGGAAGCAAGCAATAAGAGGGACTCCCCACGTTCGCGGGAAGCTATTACTGCGGTTGGAGAGTAACTAGTTAGATTGCCGGTGGCGTACGTTAGAGAGGCCGCCAGACTAGGCTTACTGCGAAATGGCCTCTAGTGATCTGGTGACTGTTCAGGCGCTTCAATGGAATTTCGGCAGGCTTGAAGAAATTTAGAAGTTGTCAATACTTTTTAGTTCTTTGGTTGAAAACTCCATCAGATAATTGTTCTAACTCATGTCTATTAACCTGGAGAAGAGTTGAGATACGTCTCTTTGGGCTTAGACTGAGTTAAGAACTGGATCCAGTCAAGCCAAGGAGGTGTGTCCAAACAATTCAAACTCAGTCTCAGGGCTAATAGGCAGAAGTTATAACCCATACACAGAGTCACCAAGCAGTACATAGGAGAATTGCAAAAAACCCTGTTCAGAAGGGACAGAGATTTCATCTTGTTCACACTGAACCAAACACGGGATTCCTCCGTCTCTCTTCAAAGCCCTTAAGAACTTCCCTCATGGAAAAAAAAGGCTGCTTGAGCTCCTGGTGACAATGCACCTTTTCACCCTCTGTGAAAACAGAAGTCAAGAAGGAACACCTAGATTTAATTCCCACTGAACCAAAGGTCCCATCTCTCACCAAAGCCCACAAGAACTTCTCTCATGGGAAAATTGGAGCTCCTGGAGACAATGCCCTTTTATATCCTCTGTGAAAACCGAAGTCAAGAAGGAACACCTAGATTTCATTCACGTTGAACCAAAGGTCCCATCTCTCACCAAAGTCCATGAGAACTTCCCTAGTGGAAAAATTGGAGCTCCTGAAGACAATGCCCCCTTTCACCCTCTCTAAAAACAAATGTCCAGAAGAAACACCCATCCTTCCCCATCTCCATCCCAAGCAAAAGAAGAAGAGATGCTCCCTTACCTTCTTTTTGGAGTGAGCGTGGTCTTCTTCTCTGGAGGCTTTGCTGTTTTTCCCACCTCTTGAAAGTTTGGGCTCCCCAGATTGCTTAATGGTGATTTTGATCTCTGGAGGGCAGATATAGTTCTCTAGGCTTTTGGGGGGCTTCTTGGCCCTCTTGGTGGTCTGGATTTTCAACTTCAAGCTTCCCTCGGTGAAGTTGGCCTCCTTGATGGAGAATTCTTGTTCCTCCAGACCATCGCCGGCTACCCACTTTTCGCTGTCGGCGTTGGAAATCGAATCCACATCCCTCCTGGAGCACAGCTCATCCTCTTCCTCAATTTCCATACGATGGTGATCCCCGCTCCCCGAGATCCCTTTCGCAGAGCTGGACGCAGAGAGCAGGATCTCCCCAGATCCTGCAAGGGCAGAAGGAGCTTTGGCAGAAGTAATGGTAGATGCCAAGAAGTCCGTCTCACTTCCTCTCGGCCGGGAAGGGCCTAAATTTTCCCTGGGCTCCATAGCAATCCCCCAGTCTCTGAAAAGTTTATGGGGGGGGGGAGAGCAGAGGAGACCGAGCTGAAGACAAGGGGATCTTCCCCCCCAGAAGAGAAGGCAAAATTCCACTTGGCTTTTTTAGAGGTGGAAAGGTCGGACCACAGGAAGGAAGTCAAAAACTCTCAGATCTGCAACTAATGGGAACAAAAAAAGGGAGATGAGAAACTCAAAATTTTCAGGGTGGATTCAACCAATGTCATTGTGCATAGATGGTGCACTGACAATAAAGTATTATTATTATGTTGCTGTCAATACACATTTTAGTTACAGAAAGTCCTCACCTTATGATCACAACTGATCCCAAAAGGGAAGGCGGTAAGGAGGAAGTTGTTAAGTGAGTTTTGCCCATTTTACAAGCATTTTTTTTTTGACACAGCATTAATCGAATCACTGCGATTGTTAACTGAATCATTCTATTCCCATTCTACCTATTCAGTTTTGGTTAATAGTAACAGCTCTGAGATTTATATACCACTTATATACCGCTTCATAGTGCTTTACAGTCTTCTCTAAGCGGTTTACAAAATCAGCCTATTGCCCCCCAACCATCTGGGTCCTCGTTTTATCCGTCTCGGAAGGATGGACGGCTGAGTCAACCTTGAGCCTGGGAAGCTCTGGCAGTCAGCAGAAGTAGCCTGCAGTACTGCATTCTAACCACTGCGCCACCATGGCTCCTCAACTACTCCATTATGGAGATCAACCCATCATAGCAACCATTGAGGGTCTCACTTTTGCAACTGAGATCAGGGATAATCATCAGGTCCGAGAAGAAAACAGAACACGGCAACCACCTGCATACCATACACGAATGTTCTCTTGCCATCTAGAGTAATCACTCCAAGCCCAGCCTTGCTTGTGCTGTGTGCAGCAGCTTCAGAGCAACCTAGGGCTCCCCATTGAATTCCCGCTGGCTTCCCCAATGACTTTATTGGAAGTCAACAGGAAGTCATGGAGAGGTCCACACTTAACAATCAATGATCCTCACTTAACAACAATAACAAGAATTGCAAACATGGCCATAGCTAAATAATTTAGTCCTGTGGCATCACACCATACAATCACACTGTTTAATGAAGATTATGGACCCAATTTCCATTGTTAACCAAAAACTACCTATAACTGGGGAAAGTTTTCTACCATCATCTACCTTTAAAAAGTGACCCTTTTCTATTGCTGGACAAGAAAGACACAGATGTCACCTGAGTTTGCAGACACGCAAGAGCTTTTTACCTGAAATAACTGAAACAGTTAAATTCAAATTAATAATTAACAGAAGGCAAACGTGGGACTGCTTGAAAAAGAATATGAAATTATTTTATGTGGTTGGGCTGTTCCAGGTTTCCGTACGTTCCCCTTGCATATGGGAAACAAGTTCGTGAGAAGGTCTCACAGGGACTTCATCCAAAAGAAATTTAAAACCAATTACACAGCTTCTGGTGGATTTATTTACACCCCATGGGTTAACCAGTGAGGATAGCAATAACTTATCTCATTACACCAGGAGTCAGCAACCCGTGGCTCTCATGTGATGATGTTAAAGGTGTAGTCACAGGATGTACAGGTTGTTCATAATAACAGAGTTGGAAGGGACCTTGGAGGTCTCCTAGTCCAGAGGTCAGCAAACTGTGGCTCTGGAGCCGCATGTGGCTCTTTCATCCCTCTGCTGCGGCTCCCTGTCGCCAGTCGGCACCACAATTTTGAGAGGAGCTTCCGGTTGGGGTCGGTGGGAAGCAGAGCACACCAGGAGGAGACTCTTATGGCAGTGGGTCTCAACCTTCCTAAGGTTCCTCATGTTGCGGTGACCCCCAACCATAAAATTGTTTTATGTTGTCCGTATTTTTTCAAAAATACATGTTTTCCAATGGTCTTAGACGACCCCTGTGAAAGGATCGTTCGACCCCCAAAGGGGTCCCGACCCACAGGTTGAGAACCGCTGCTCTATGGCAAGGGCTGGGTTTTCCGGTCAGCTCCACAATCGGTTAGAACAGGTAGAGGAAAAAAGGATGCCGCACTATGAGGAGACTCTATAGTGGGGAAACCGGACTTCCGGTCAGCTTCCAGAATTGAAAGGGGGGCTTCCGGTTAGGATCACAGTGGCTCTTTGAGTGTTTTAAGGTTGCCAATCCCGTGGAACGACAAAACCGCGCTCGACTAAAGCGCGCCAGATTAAACTGCGTCACTGACATCATCAGCAGGGCGACATCAGCGAGCGCGGAGAAAGAAGGGCGCTTTAAATAGCACTTTGAAAGCAAGCCGATTCAAGTTAAGGTAAGGGTTAGGTTTAGGGTTAGGTTAAGGGTTAGGGTTAGGGTTAGGTTAAGGGTTAGGGTTAGGTTTAGGTTAAGGGTTAGGATTAGGTTTAGCATTAGGTTTAGGGTTAGGTTAAGGGTTAGGCTTAGGGTTAGGTTTGGGATTAGGTTTAGGGGGGTTAGGTTTAGGTTTAGGGGCTAATTTTAGGTTTAGCGTTTACAGCGTGCTTTTTTCTCCACGCTGTTGTCGCGTTGTGATGACGTCAGCTACGCGGTTTCGTCGAGAGCCCTTTAGTCGAATGCGGTTTTGTGGTGGAACCGCCAATCCTTGCATTATACAAATCTGGCACATTCCATCAAAGTTTAGTTACAACCTAGGAACTACTCATTAGAGCAGAGTTTCTCAACCTTGTTATCTTGAAGATTGTACGGACTTCACCTCCCGGAATTCCCCAGCCGACCACTGCACTAGAGTTACATCCCAAACACGGCGGATAAAATTTCAATTGCTTTTTTAAGTCATACATCATAATCTATAAATCACGAGGGCACACTCAAACAGCCTTCCTAACAGAAATAGAATCAAGATCACATGAAGTATACCACTTTATAATGCCTTGGTAAGAATATATCTTTATTACGGTCATAGACCAGCAAAATGCCCTTGGTTAAGATCACACTTGGAATACGGCATCCAGTTTTAGTCGCCATAACAGAAAAAAGATGTGGAGACTCTAGAAAGAGTGCAGAGAAGAGCAATAAAGAGGATGAGGGGAGTGGAGGCTAAAATATATGAAGATTGGTTGCAGGAACTGGGTATGTCTAGTTTAATGAAAAGAAGGACTAGGGGAGACATGATAGCAGTCATCCAGTATTTGAGGGGCTGCTCCAAAGAAGAGGGGGTCAAGCTATTTTCCAAAGAACCACAAGGCAGGACAAAAAGCAATGGATAGAAACTAATCAAGGAGAGAACCTGGGAATAATGAGAAATTTCCTGACAGAACAATTAACTAGTGGAACAACTTGCCTCCAGAAGTTGTGAATGCTCCATTACTGGAGGTTTTTAAGAAGAGATTGGACAGCCATCTGTCCAGAACGGTAGAGGGTCCTCTACTTGGGCAAGGGGTTGGACTAGAGGACCTCCAAGGTCCTTTCCAACTCTTATTATTTTTCAACCAAGAAAAGCTCAACAACTCAACTCAGCAGGGTAAAGAAGATGGCTCCTTCCTGGGCAAGCCGAACGAAACTGTCAAAATGAAGGGGCGAGTCCCAAATTTCTCCCAACACCAACGCAGCTCAACAACTGTTAGCAATTCGCTTAACCACTGCAGTGACTCACTTAAACCACGGTGGCAATGGGGCACACCACATGTAACAACTTCCTTGCTGAGCTAAGCAACAGAAATTATGGGGCTCCACTGGGGTTATGTTGAGGGCGATCTGTATTTGCCCGTGGGAATATCATTGTCAAAGGCGATTTCATCGAGGGCCGCATCAGGATTGTGTTTGAACTCAAGAGGGCCGGGGATGGGCGTGGCCAGCTCAACATCACTCATGTCGGGGGCACCTGCGGGAAAGACTTCCCTCAGACCCTCCCTCCGTCTCCTTATAACCAACCAGCTTACTTAGTTAGTTAGTTCCTTCCTTCTCTTCTTTTCCCTTCTCTCTTCATTCTCTTTTCTTCTTCCTTCCCCTCTTTCCTTATTTCTCCTTCCTTGCTCTCTTCCCATCTTTCCTTCTTTGTCTTTCCGCTTTCCTTTTCCTGTCCCTTCTTACACACTCAAATGCAAAAGGTGGAACATTTCTCCTTTAGTTTGGCTTTTACTTTCTTTCGATAGCCCTCTGCCAATGAAAATGGAGCTCTGTTTTTGCTGGCAGAGGGCTTTGCAGTGGGCCATCACGGCCAAAAATGGGGCACAGGGCAGAATGTGGTGCCACAAGCTCCATTTTTGCTGGTAGAAGCACTGCAGGCAGGTCCTTTGCTGTTTCCAGGCTGGCCCGCAGGCCAGATTTAAGCACCTATTTTGACACCCCTGCAATAGAGGACCCTTGTCCAGGTACACCCTGCCCTTCGTAGCACCCCTGGAAGAAAGTTCCTGCTTCTTTGAGTAAGCTGCTTGAGTTGATCTCCTGAGTTGATCTCCTGAGTGGAACCATGTGCATTCCGCCCGTCATTCAAAGGTGGCATTCAGCCGGTTCAGATCGGTTCGCCTGAACCGGTAGTGGAAATTGCAGCGTGGGCCACTCTGGATCTATGCTGTCCTATTTACCGTATTTTTCAGAGTATAAGACGCAACTTTTTCTCCAAAAAAGAGGGAGAAAATATGGGTGCGTCTTATACACCGAATACAGCATTTGTGGCCTTTGGCCTGCCCCCTTTGCAAAAATGGACGTGCAGAGGGTTTGGGAGGCTTGCAAAGTCCTCCTGGGGGCTGCGGAGGGCAAACATGAAGAAAAAATGGGCCATTTTTGCTCGTTCCCCATTCCCAGTCCCCAGGAGCACACTAAAAGCCTCCCAAAGCTCTGCATGCCCTTATTTTATTTTATTTTTGCAAAAAAATGAGTCGTGCAGAGTGTTTGGGAGACCTGCAGAGTGCAAAAACTTTTTTTTTTTAATTTACCTTTTCAAAATCATGGTGCATCTTATACTCCGGTGAGCCTTATAATCCGAAAAATATGGTAGGTACCATATTTGTGCGCATCAAGTTGTGTGCATGCGTGCAAGCCATGCAAGTAAGCAAAGCGCATGCATGGACAGACGTGCACATGCGTTGACACACGTGCGCGCTCCCATTTGCGAACCGTTAAGGAAAGTAGTAAGTGAATACCACCCGTATTCACGCCGTAACTCCTACAACCTTCTCAGATGT